ATACACGTCTCATTTCTATCACAGAGATCAGCAGCCATGGGCCATTGGTGGCAATACTGGTAGGAGTCGCCCGAGGCTAAGCCATTAATTTCCGTTCTATACCCAATATACATACCTGAACTGGGCACAAATCTATCCCATTCCTTGGTGCTGACCCCTTTGATGCGCCCCCGAATCCCTTAGCATTATTAGTACCTCCAATTCATTTCGTTATCAGCTCACCGCATGCTCAGTACTGTGTTGTAAAGTATGCAAATTTTCGACGCTTTTAAATTGCAGCCTCCCCAGGGCAAAAACACATCTCGGCCACATTGAAATTTCAGCCTGTACTGCTGTACAGTCAACTTCGCTTATAACGACACTCGGCGGCGGGGCATCAGAAAAGTGTCCTTATTCGCGAAGTGTCGTTATACCCGAAGTCTCATTATAGGTATTACAGTAGGATGGGACTTTGCTCTGGGCATGGGAACTCTGTCGTTATTCGCGAATTGTCGTTATATCCGAAGTCGTTATTAGCGAAGTTGACTGTATACACTGTCACATTGAGCCTTGCAAAACAAATTTTAGGCTACAAATGCCCAGTAAATAAGAGGGGAGAAGGCACTGAACGAAGTGTCAACCTACGAGTACAACCTCAGTGCAGCAACGTGCTCTTTCTCTTTTTGCTTGTGTAAGCAGGAAGAGCACGTTGTTGCACTGAGGTTGTATTCGTAGGTTGACAGTTCGTTCAGTGCCTTTTCACCTTTGGTTACATAATTTTGTTACCTTTTGCGTTTCCTCTAGTAAATAAAAGGGGGGTTGTCAAATGACAATCGCTCTATTCAGTTGCTATTCACTCTTGGCGCATGCGCTGGACGAAATATTCTTATATTAGTGATGTCGAAAAAGTATGCGGTTGTCAGTTGACAAACCCCTTTTTATTTACAATTCAGTTGCGTGATGTCCACCACTTTCCGAATTAAAAATGCACAGGCCGATAATAGCCGAAAATAAAATATGCGCCGAATATGCAGTACCTTGCGCACTCTGTTAGAAGACATTAGGGCTACTGGGAATGAATGCCCAAGTAAAATGATGAAGTACAGTAATACAATACTATAGGGAGTGCATTTGGCATGAATACACCAAGCCAACTCTCCTATACAAACAGTATAGTGTTGCTGCCAAAAACATGATCAGCTAAAGTTGCCTTTTTGCATTATTATGGTTGAACTTTATTTTCCTGTAGCCTCGTTCCCAAGCTGTGGATTTAATCACGAAATTCGTTAGCAAGACGAAGAGGTTTTATGTGAGCTTACTATTATTCTACCTGCACTTGCTTTTATCTTTTTTGTGCAGGACTCTGAGAAGCTGGAGGGACCCCACAAACCTCAAGCATTGAAGATACAACTTTTAACCAAGAACCAGGCAACATGATGTGCATGTATCACGTTCGCTGTGATTGCATCGTTTCAGGGTACACTGACAACATACTAGTACTAGTAACTAGTCCTTGATTAGCAGCAGTGGCCTGAATTATTGCCTGGCCGCTATTCATATAATCCTTTGGTGCTTACTCATCGCCTTGTTCTGTCTCTAAAATGGCGTATGGGTGTTCCGAGGCTTGTAATATTTGCTCAAGCCGCGCATTGGCATTGGTGCATGTCGGTAAATGCCAGCCACTGCTGCCTAGCTCAACATCTTTTGTATGATGTAGAATGCGCTCTGTGTATCTACAGTCGAGTGACCTACAGTTGCACTAGTATGTGCACTGTGCTGGCACAGTGTATCATACTCAGTCTTGTCACTTCTTCTCCCACGTTTACTGTATTGTTTAATTCACTGTACACATCTTGCCCAGCTCCTCTAAAGCCACACAGAATTAGTTTGTTGTTTTGGGCCACTACACTCAGCTGGTGTAAGGTTGGTCTGCTTCTCTCTTCCTTCTCTTCGACGTGTCCAGCCAATCATTCATGTCAAGCTTTGCATAACTTAGATCACTGTATATACAGTCACCTGGCTGGAAACGTCCATGGCTGCAAAATCACATCTTTCTTGAGGAACCCCATTTTATAGAGTGGACGACATTCACTTTCCTGATAGACTCACCTCAGATGTTGGTATTGTACCCATCCCTGATTTGTACATGCACCACTTTTTTGGCAACTCCGAACAGTGAGAATGTCTGCTGTGGATAGTTCTCATGCTTTAAACTCATTCCTAAATTGAATGTAAACAAGTACGGTATAATACCGCCAAAATGTAGTTCATTACAAGTCGTCGATTATGATCCTTTGTTGAGACGAAAGCTTCGGGACCTGGAAGTACTTGTGACATACCCATATCATACTCCCTCAGGTTCTGAAGCTCTGTGTGTGTGTCGTGTTTGCTTTGCTTTAAAGTATATTAAGAGCTCTGATGGTCTGCACTCCTCTTTGCATGGAGTCACCTCCAGTGGTTATGGCGATCGAGTGCATGTATGTTCGGATAAGGGCGTGGGGAAACACTCATCTAAAACATACTCATTTCTTCATGCATACTTTTATTTCTCATTTTTTTCGGCACACACTCCAGCTCCTCGAAATTATCATGGGATGCATGTTGATGACAGCCTGCCGCCATGCAGCCTGAGCAGTTCGGACAATCAATCATTCGGATAATCGGCATTCTATATTACTACAGTTGTAGTAGCTGTATTTCATGTACAGTACTACAGACAGTAGAGTCAGGCGCCGAAGAATGTGTTGCCCAAGAATGTCCAGCCTGAAATGCTAAGAACGCCACCGCCTAAAGTTAAGAATGGCGGTGTTGGTTTTCCGGCAGCTTTTGGGATACATAATTATGATCCTAACATGATTGTTTCTAAGAACATGCTACAAGACCGCAGCCGGATGGCTGAAAAATAAGAACACCCCAGGCTAACCTCTTGGACACAACGTTCTTGGACGCTCGACTCTACTGTAGTATGGAAGAACACTCTTCGGCAGGGATGTTACATTTTAGAAATCATGCGTACAAGATGCCTATTAAAGTCTGCTCTTCTTTTATGACAAGCTTTGGCATGCATGCAGCTCTTAATTAATCCCAAAGGTGGAGTGCAATGACATGCATTTGGAACCGTGATCACTAAAATCCTGCGCTAAATTCTACGATTTAGAACTATACGTGATGTTGCACACCCAAGAACGTCGTTCCGAGGGCCTAGGTCGGGGGCGTTCTTGGAAGAACATCATGCTGGATTGTAGATAAACTATATAACCCACATGTGTGTGATAACAAAAACTGCGGTACAGTGCGGAGAAACTAGTCTAACATACCGGTACTAATATCACCAGTAGGTTCTCTAAACGTTTTGTTCTATACTGGAGAATATTCCAGCGAGTGAATCCAGAGCAAGTGCTATGGAAATGGACTAGCGAGAGCTCACAATAGCCAGACAGACCCACGAGTGCTTTCTTGAACCGAACAATATTCATCTATGGCATTCAACATGCAGTTTGGGAAGCCATGCAGTCCTGGGACAAATATCCAAATGCATTCTTGTCTCCAGACCAAACAACGATTGTTATCATACTTGATAATTTCCAACTCTACGACCACCATGCCAGCTCAAGCAAAAAGAAGCAAAGGAAGACGGAGATTTCTACTTGTGCAGCCATTCAGGGAGGAGCACGAAGGCTGTTTTAACATCACATGATTCGACTGTGCACGCACTTTCCAAAAGTGTACTTATCACATACCACGTGAACTCTTAGGCTGTTTGCAGTGCGATATACTTACATGTGCACGCCCTTGCCGCACATTCACACTCCAGTACAAAACATAATTATGCAAATATGTAATGCACATAACGGTGGCATTCTAAGCGGCTTGAAAGCAGATCAGCAACTTTTTCATTGCCTTCAGGCTGCAACAGCATATTGCAAGAGGGCACAAAGGCCCAACCCAACATCTTCCATTGAACACCATCGGCCATGGCAGTACAGACCATCTGACATCACTCACACCACCCACATAGAAGAGAAGCAATGTTGATACTTCATAGTTAAAGGGGAAGTTAAGGCAAAAATTAAAATTTCACCAGTTGTAGTCTTCGGGGTGCTGAGTCGAATGGTCTTGGTCCGAGGAAGCTGAGACGCTCCCTTCCTACTTGAATCCCAATCGAACTCGCGCACTTCCACCGAAACTGGGTGACTGCGCCCTACGAGATGGGTATTTGTATGCAAAATGTCACTAAAAGCGCCATTTCGTTCTTATAAAAGCACGGATGACCGCGATTGGCCCATATGTTGTAGTCTTTGGGACGCTGAGTCGACTGGTTTTGGTCCGAAAAGGCTGCGATGCGGCGTTTTTCCTTAATTCCCAATCGAACATGGTTGAAGAAGCGGTCACGTGCTCCTGCGTACACCAGTCACCTGGTCACCGTGCCTGCAGGGTACAACTTACTAGCCTGTTTGACCTTTTTTGGGTGCAGTCCTGTCACTCGAGTTGAACCCGAGTTGAACCTTGGTGTGAAAGTTGTCACCTGCTGGCGTGGTGACCAGGTGATTTGGGCACCCAGGAGCACTTGACCGCTTCTTCAACCATGTTCGATTGGGAATAAAGGAGGAACGCTGCATCGCAGCCTTTTCGGACCAAAACCAGTCGACTCAGCGTCCCAAAGACTACAACATATGGGCCAATCGCGGTCATCCGTGCTTTTATAAGAACGAAATGGCGCTTTTAGTGACATTTTGCATACAAATCCCCATCTCGTAGGGCGCAGTCACCCAGTTTCGGTGGAAGTGCGCGAGTTCGATTGGGATTCAAGTAGGAAGGGAGCGTCTCAGCTTCCTCGGACCAAGACCATTCGACTCAGCACCCCGAAGACTACAACTGGTGAAATTTTAATTTTTGCCTTAACTTCCCCTTTAACACGTTACAAATACTACTGAGAGTGCATATAGGCAGTGCACCAGGTTCAGGATGCATTGATCCATTCTTCTGCTTCAACTACCTTAGCTGCTCATTTGATCTATGGCTATGCATGCTGTCATCAGTGAGCCACATCATTGCGAAAGACTGATGATGGAGAGATCATTGCGCGTGTGTAGTCACAATACTATCAGAGAAATACGTTTGGCAAATATAGGAATACTGTGGACAAAATTGTACACAATAACCTGCCTTGAAGCAAATCTCAGAAAGAAAGCGCTGTGCAGATGCATGTCAGCCGCTTCAGATTCAGTCACTTCGTGAGATCCAATATTCTTCCAACTGTACTGTTCAGCCTTCGGTGATCCACAGAGACAGACAAACAATCTGTTCCGTCCTTCTACATGAGAAACAGAGAGTGAACATGTTCCAGTTCATTCCAGTATGAAGGCGGCGGATACAGGCAATGAAAGTCATCGTTGGGCCAACATGACCAGCTTTCAGACATGGGTTCTCAGAGACCTTCGCTCATGATAATGGTATTCACCCTGGCTACAATCCTGCAAAACACGTGAAAAGATTGCAGCAAAACAAACTGAATGTTATAAAGAAGCAATTTAGGAAAACTAAACCTATCGTATACTAGTATGTAGTACAGTGAGGCTAAGATACAACACCCAGCAGCCAGGCAAACTTGCTAATATCCGATGAATTAGCATGCCTGGTCATGGCACACCGGGTACAAAATATGCAACCAGCATAACGTTTCCACCAGTATTGATAATCTATCGTAACGTTATGATCAAACTACATAACTGCTAAGAATGTGCAACTACTAACATAAGGTACGATCGGCTTCGAAATCCAATGATTATGAGCAAGCGCGCATATATTTCTACATGTGCCATGTAGATAGAGTGTTTCATCAGGTTCAGTAGGCATGGATCCACAGTTCATTGTTCTGCCTCAACTACCGTAGCTGTAATGTACAAGTTTTGATCTCTGGCTATGCATGATGGTATTAGTGAGCCCAATGGCCCACAAAAACCGAAGTGATGAAACTTTCTGCCGTGGGCAGAGGGATCATCGAGTTGCCCACTCTTGGTTATGTACTCATGCCATTACCAACTATCAGTGTTGTGAACCCTCTGGTTCTCTAAAGTATCAGGAACGAACGACCCCACACGGCACGAGGACAACTATTTATTCTCAACAATATATTTCACTTCCATCGACTAATAACAATGAACAATGAATGAACAACTGAAACAACTGAACTAACTGAAACTAACACTAAAACCACCAGGTAGTTATAGCGTGAAAATGACAGCGTATATGAGAAAAGCATACACATACAACATACAACTACAGCGCACTCAGCAAACCGCACATAGCGCATGTAGCGTATACTACGTCGTAAACATCAACGGTACGGCGGAGTCGGGATACAACTGCATTGGAACGAACACAATGTCACAAGCGAGAAGGCCTTTCACTCTCGAGAACTTGTGGTTTCACAACATTCTCCCCACCAAAGGGCTTCTCACCGCCGTACAACAACTCACAAGTCAAACGATTTGGGGCTTACTACGCGTCGTCTGCTGCTGGGGTGGTGGCCATGGTAGAATATCACTAATGCCCACCAATTCAGAAAACTCGACATCGCGAAGCTTGCCGCTGTGGACTGTCACACACGACACTGTCACCGACCCACTTCGACAGGGGGCAGACGCTGGACCAGACAACACACAACCGATAATGTCATAAAGCTCGACGATGTGGGCTGTCACACACAACATGGTCACTGGTACACTGCTTCGACACGGGGCGGGCGCGGAATCCGAGGACACACATCGGATCTCTGTGTTCCACACCGTCTCGCCGCTTACTTCGTCCGTGCTAACCAGTAGTATCGCCCTTCTCGTTTTCTCGGCTTCTACGCCTTGCGTTTCTAAGTCTTGCGCCTCTAACTCTTCCGCCTTTAACTCTTGCGCCTTTAACTCTTGCGCCTCCAACTCTTGCACCTCCAACTCTTGCGCCTCCCACTCTTGCGCCTCCCACTCTTGCGCCTCCAACTCTTGCGCCTGCAACTCTTGCGCTAACTCTTGCGCCTCTAACTCTTGCGCCTCTACGTCTTGCGCCTCTACGTCTTGCGCCTCTACGTCTTGCGCCTCTACGTCTTGCGCCTCTACGTCTTGCGCCTCTACGTCTTGCGCCTCTACGTCTTGCGCCTCTACGTCTTGCGCCTCTACGTTGTTCGGCCGAGACTCCAGCTGCTTCTGAGCGTCTCCGACCGATGTCGCCATGCTCTGTACCGACGCAGTGGGCCTTGGATCTGATCCTCCCACTGGCTTCAAGCACTCTTCTGACCGCTGCTTGTCTGTAAGCAAAGTCTTACACGCCTTGTCCGGCGTCCTTCCGGGCGAGGCAAGCAAATCTCGCTTTGCTTCCTCATAATATGTACTGACGGCGATGCGCTCGGCCATCTTCTTGAGCTTTTCGTTAAACTCTGCGCGGAGCGCACACTCTTGCCGTCTAGCACTGCGCTCTTCAAACTCCTCGCTCTGTCGGAGCCTCTTCTCCACGTATTCTCTCAACCTATCGCCTTCAAATCCATACCGAATTCCGTTGGCGATAAAGCTGGCTTCAATGATCCATAGTTCCTGTGCCATGCTCGCTTCGTATCCTGGCGTGGTCGCCAAATGTTGTGAACCCTCTGGTTCTCTAAAGTATCAGGAACGAACGACCCCACACGGCACGAGGACAACTATTTATTCTCAACAATATATTTCACTTCCATCGACTAATAACAATGAACAATGAATGAACAACTGAAACAACTGAACTAACTGAAACTAACACTAAAACCACCAGGTAGTTATAGCGTGAAAATGACAGCGTATATGAGAAAAGCATACACATACAACATACAACTACAGCGCACTCAGCAAACCGCACATAGCGCATGTAGCGTATACTACGTCGTAAACATCAACGGTACGGCGGAGTCGGGATACAACTGCATTGGAACGAACACAATGTCACAAGCGAGAAGGCCTTTCACTCTCGAGAACTTGTGGTTTCACAACAATCAGTGCACAAGTACTGCTACACCCTCACTATGATCCATTGCAACACTATCACCAGGCACATGCATGCTACTGCACCCATTAAACCAAGAGTCGCAAATAGGAAAATCTTTGCTGTAAACCACAGCTATAAGGTGCTTTGAGTCCAGGTTTGTGGGAAAGTTGCACTGCACGATGCACAATACCACATCGAGCGAAATTCTTTTTTTCACATAGCGTGAAGTGTCTCTCGAGAAATGCAATGCACAATGCATAGCACATCGCAGACAAATCTTGTATTGCACCTGCAGTCTAAAACTGCTTGCCAGCCAGAGCTCTTGAGTCACATGCACCAGCATGCAGGAAGTGATGCCCATCACGTGTCACCCAACCTAGAAGTGGAGCTGGACTCAATTTCCTGTGATACGACCTGTGATGGAGCTGCAACAACCAGCGATGCAAGTTTGCAGTCCAATTATTTGAAACTGGCCCGCTATGTTGCTGAGAATGTACTCAAGGCAACATTTGAGAAATTACCTTTCGAAAAAATGTTAGGTACAAACCTGGCCGGATATTGTTTAAATGGTACTGTGCGAAGAAAACAACTATTTTATTGCATAGACTTAGGGCATGTTCGATTGGTAGGATCGGGATCCCGATCCACCGGATCCAATGGATTCGCACCCTTTCGATTGGTCGAATCCGGATCCGGATCCTTCGGATTTGGATCCGGTCATCCGGTGGTACGCACACGTGGATGGAGATAGAGCTTGTTGACTTTTTGTACGACGCACGCGATGAGTACGACGTTCGCCCTTTTGGGTGCCTTGTGAGCGCCATTATCAACATGGCAACAGTCAAGGTCCAAGATAAAGTGTTCAGTTGAATCTGAAGGATCCGAGGGATCTGAGATCTGGATCCCGATCCTTACCAATCGAACATGCCCTAAGGAGCTATCCAGCATTATCGATAATTTTCACGAAATGGTCCGCATGCAGCATGGCGGTGCTAGCAAGTCACTGGCATATGTTCTCGTGTGGATCGATGTACAGTGCGTGACAATGCTTCCATAGTGGTGGTGGCGGGAGCACACTGCACTGCAGGGCATTACAGCACTGGCATACTATTAATTTCTCTTGCAGACGTGCCGTGCACGACAATGCTTCTATAGTGGTGGTCACGGTGATGGTGGTGGTGGTCATGGTGGTGGTGCTGCTGCTGCTGGCGGCGGTGGTGGTTGCGGTGGTGGGAGCATTCTGCACTGCAGGGCATTCAAGCAAGCTCAATTGTGCATGCATGGTGGCGGTGGGAAAGAGGAGCCAAGGAAAGCGTGTACATATTTTTTGTTGAAAGCACGAGAATTCAAAGAAAGCTGGCTGCTTCCTCTATTTCCATGATCGGCCAGTGCCTGCAGCACGAACAGTACATTGTATTACATGTATGTGCATAGACAGACAAATAAACACTAACCTGAGCATGGGTACCGCTTGTATTCGTGGTCAGGAAAGTGAAAGTACGAACGAAGGAGAAGAAGATTGTTGACCATGGCGAACAACTGCATATCCAGAGGGCACACGGCTTGCCAGAATGGGTCGGCTACATCTTCGCTAATTTTCTATCCTAACAACATTCAGCTTCGAGGTCAAGGACGACGGCATTTTTGGAAGGAAATTTCGAATTTTGGAGAAGAAGCTTGCTTTCGGAAAAATGTTTACGTTCCAGACCAAGCCGTGAATCGCCCTCGCTCTGACTCGTCCGGACTAGTAATGTCTACTGTACTTCGGATCCACCCTCCCAAAAAAGAAAGAAAAAAAAAGTATAATATAAACCACGTTTATAAATCTATAAAAGCACGTTTTCGGCGGGAAAACGAAAAAACCGGATCTCCATCAATCGAACCTATCCCATCCTAGGATGGGCACCCCCTCCACCCATCCTAAGATGGGCACCTGCCCATCTTAGGATGGGCAGAATCGACGGACGGGCCGGAACATAGATACTGAAAAGGATCGGTCTAGACTATTCCCGTTGCACACTCTTGGGGGTTATGAACTCTTGGTGATACCCAAGCCGCCCAAACGGCATGGGAGAGCGAACATGTACATGTTGCCTTTTTTGGTCACGCCCCTCTCTGTTAGGGGCAGCGGATTTCTAACAGTGATGTTTGTGTGTAACACTCAAGTCAAGAGTCATCGGATCAGAGGACTGCTAAAAAAAGGACCATTGGGTTTGCCCTGGTGCGTTGTGGTGCTATGTGCCTGCGTGGCTCAAGGAGCATGTTTGTTCCTGCTGTGCCTGAGTCCCCTGCTGTGCTAGTGGCGGCGGAGGTACAGGTTCCTGCACGAGTACGAGGGCAGTACCGCGGAATCCAGCCCGCGCCGCGATAGCGGCAAGGGCTGGATGAACAGCGGTTCTGGCCGAGTATGAGTGACTGGAACGTGTTTCCCGTGTGCACCCAAGCCAAATAAAGAGATACATGACAGACACACTTGCATTGTGTTTTGTGATTGTTTTCTGGTACAGTTTTTTGTAGTAGTCCATAGTGCTTTTTTTCTCGCGGTGCCATTGACATTGTCGACTGGGCATCGGGCATTCTGGCTGTTCTGTTCCTACGGATTTTTCCCACGTCTTGATCGGAAACCTCGGCAAATTGCGTGGATCCTGCAGGTTGCTGAGCATTGCGCGCTTTGGTTGAGGCTCATCCGGCTCGTCCAAGATCTCCTTCGCGAGCGACTCGGCAATAAAAGTTTCAGTCTCTTTCTCAACTTTTCGGAGGAGCTCATTCGCATCGCCAATATCGTTCAACAAAGGGGCTTCTTTCTCCCAGTTCCAGATCAAATGTTGGAGCGCCATGATGACATTTGTGGTTGCAAACAGTCGCTCTTCTGCTTTAGTTATTTTATTAGTAACCAATGAAAGACCTTGAAGTAGAGTCAGTTCAGTGGCTACTGCCGTACTGGCACTGGCGGGCAGTTGAATCCGTTCCTGCCCGTCGTCAAGGACTAAAGGGACCCTCACTTAATTTTTTGCCGACTACCCGCCAAAAAACACATTTCGACACGCGTGTGTGCTGGACGTCTGCGCGTGCACGACAAGACGTGTGAGCTGGCTGACAAGTGAGAGCCAGGGAGTCGTCAAGTACCGGCATTTGGCGACTCCCGGCCTGGTGAGAGCATGCATGCATGCACGTCCAGCTGGCGGGAAAGGGAACCTAAAATTGTAGATCGATGGGTTGAATGTGAAATTGTGGATCTACACGAGGTTTGTTTTGATGTTCTGATACTTGTTGTAATGGCTAGTGATCTTGCAAACTGTTAACTGTTACTGTGACTTTTCCAAGTCCTACTGATATACCTTGTCAAATCAGATGCCCTGTAGTAGTCTTGGTGGAAGCAGACTGGAATGCGTTGAATTCGTAGCTTCTGAAATTGAAATTTATTTTTTCTTGAGTGACACTGACAAGCGATGGCATTGGCGACAGGAGAACTTTGCTTCCTTCCAGGAGAGCTGCATCGCAGTCGGATCCTGTCCATGCACATGCGATCATGCTGTGTTGTAGACAGTGGAGAGCTGATTTTCACCCGAGAAAATAGTTTTGAACATTCATGAAGAGGATATTGTTGCTGTAGCTAGCTGACAGACATAACCTGTGGCAGTGGTGTATGGAATCAGCGTGCAAGGTCTGTAGCAACTTGATCATGGCAGAGAACGAGCTGAAGCGAGATGTGAAGGGTGCCATGCAGCTTACACTTGTGCATGTTCTACGTTACTCTACGGCGAGGAACTACGCACGCACTCACTACTGCTCTCGCAAGGTGATTGGCTTCTCTCCAGTCATTCAGGCCGCCTCAAAGCATGGATCCACTGCACTTTGTCGCGGAACACATCAACATGCCTGTTGACGTACACTGGAAAAGATACGACTCCACGATGAGGACCTGTGTAGCAACTTCCATTGGCGCATGTTTTTTAGTTTTAACGGTACTCCACGATGAGGAACAGCACTCGCTACTGCTCTTGCCAGGTGATTTGCTTCTCTCCCGTGATACAGGCTGCCTCAATGCATGACTTATCTGCACATCAATACGCCTGACGTAGATATAACTGGAAAAAGGTGTCACTCCTCGATGAGGAGCACACAGCACTCGTGAAGGCTTGTACAGAGTGAGGGGCTTCTCCCCAGTGATGCAGGCTACCTTGAAGCATGATGAGCTATGTGAAAAATACCGCGCGGTGTGTTGAAGCGAGGCATAGATACGACTCCACGATGAGGACCTGTGTAGCAACTTGATCATGGCAGAGAAGGAGCTGAAGCAACTTCCATTGGCGCATGTTTTAAGTTTTAACGGCACTCCACGATGAGGAATTGCACACGCACTCGCTACTGCTCTTGCAAGGTGATTGGCTTCTCTCCCGTGATACAGGCTGCCTCAATGCATGACTTATCTGCACTTTGCCGCGGAACACATCAATACGCCTGAAGTGGATATACACTGGAAAAAGGTGTCACTCCACGATGAGGAGCACACAGCACTCGTGAAGGCTTGTACAGGGTGAGTGGCTTCTCCCAAGTGATGCAGGCCACATTGAAGCATGATGAGCTACGTGATAAATGCCACGCGGTGTGTTGAAGCGAGGCATGGAGCATGCCGGCAATGCAGCTTGCACTGGTGATTGTTTTACTCTACGATGATGAACTGCACGTGGCATTTCCTAAGGCTTGTGCAGGGTGAGTGTCTTCTCTCCAGTGATGCAGGCCACCTTGAAGCGTGAATCCACTGGATCTCTCTCTCTCTCTCTCTCTCCAAGTTCTTTGGTAATGAAACCTTTCACCAACATTGTCCGGCTGCACGCCTACTGTCACTCAAAGAGGACCAATGGATGCAACATGTGCCTAACAGATACACTGTTGATCATCAACAACTCCAATAACCCCCCCCCCCCCCCCCCAGCATTGTCTTCAATACACATCCAACTAGAACTTGAAGTATATTAGTCGAGGCTGCTGGTATAGTCTCTACTAAGGACCGCATATTTGGTATAATGTTTCTCTACACTGCACACTAAAGCTTCTTACCTTTTCCGAGATTGAACTCAGGCACTGACCACTTGCCTGCAGGATGACCCAATTGACACTCAGAAACTAAGCGCCATATGCATCTGTCTCAAGAGAAACACTCAAGTCTGCAAGTGCGGTGGATGTACACCCACTGATTTTCTCTTATACCAACGATATCAGATCTATCTTGTCGACTTTGATAGCTTCTCTTTATCATCATTCTCTCACACGAATCCACATTCGCACATTGATTAAGCTACCCCCTCTCTTTTTCTGTCTGTCTCTCTATCTCTCCTTCTGTATGTGTGTGTGTGTGTGTGTCTCTCTCTCTCTCTCTCTCTCTCTCACTCACTCACTCACAAGCCGTGTGAGATTCACTTCGATTTAGCTGTGTGCGTTTGCATACTTTGCACCCTGCTTGATTTGTGCGGTTGGTCTGCATACAGTGTGTGGTTTTTCTACTTCACTCTTCAGTAGTGCTGCGTCTCGAGCTCCTGTCATCGGTTGAGCCTCGCTTCGCTTTGTCTTTCCCCACAAAGCATTGATCCACTGCGCTTTGTCGTTGAACATCTCAACACGCATGTTGACGTACACTGTATCTCTCTCTCTCGCTTTCTCTCTCTCTCTCGCACTCACAAAGCATGGATCCACTGCACTTTGTCGTTGAACATCTCCACACGCATGTTGACATACACTGTATCTCTCTGCGTCTTTTGATCTCTGTGTCGCTCTTTCTCTTTTTCTCTCAACCTGTGTATCTACAATGTAAATTGCTGTGATAATTTCTTTTGGAAGTTCTGTCCTTATCTGACTGGAGTATTGATCAAGCTCGGCACGAAGTATTGGCTCGCTTTCTCACATACTTACTCTCTTTTTCTGTCTGTCTCTCCATCTCTCTTTCTGTGTGTGTGTGTGTGTGTCGCTCTCTCTGTTGACGTACACTGTATCTCTCTTTGTCTGTCTCTCTCTCTCGAACACACAGGCACAAGTTCTTTCTCTCTTTCAGTTTCTCTTCTTTTGTTGCTCATGAACACTAGCACACACACACACACTCTCTCTCAACATTGATCAATTCTTCCCATCATGCTTTTTTTGTGTTTCGTTGTTATAGAATATTGTACTACAGTCGTCCCTCTCTAATCCGGCACTTTATAAACCAGCACCCTCTATAAACCAGCACAATTTTTAGTAGCCAAAATGTCCTCTTCATGCACATTGCAACAGTAGATCAGATTTTCTAATCCAGCACCCTCCCTAATCCAGCAGATTTCCGTGGCACAAATGGTGCCGGATTATAGAGGGACCAATGTACTAGTACTACTGATGTACAACTCTATTCTCATGCAACTGGAGGGTATGTGTTCGGGTGCTATTTGTTGTTGTGGCTAAGAGTGCATGCATGCGGCCAACTAGTTCCAGCATGCAGTGTGTTACATTCGCTACACTGTGGTCTTACAAGCACTCATCTACACTACTTCGAAGTACAATCACAGAGAACCGTATGTTCTAACTTTCCTTCATATACTATAAACCGAAGCACAACTGTTGCAAACATTAACTGCCCACTTAGGCAAGATTATAGATAGTAACAACAGTTGAACTAAAAGTAGAAGTAGTAAGTAAGACTAGCGGGTTCTTCCAGCTCCAGGACAGTAGGAACAGGCAACGACATAACAGCATTGCATCGTACATGCATGTAGCCGTGCAGAAATTATAGTACATTTAGTTGTGAATGCAAACCCAAGGCGGAGAGCAGTCAGGCATAATAGACGCCAGCGATAGAACCAGATCTGTGACGCATGTCACATGCATTCATGATAATCAATGCATCGTAGTTCACCACCATCAAACACAGTACTCAGTAGTACATGTAAATTACACAGAAATAGGAGAATAAATCTAACATACCTCCCTCGTGAAAGA